GCCACTAACCGCTCTTCGTTTGTTTGCCTGGGTAATTCGTTATCTGTACGCAAGAAGGCTTAATCTATAAAATTAAACCAGTTAGGTTCCAAGTTCCTTCATGCGGACACTTGAATCAGTTTTTGCGTATGGCTTAATGTGCAGAGTAGTTCTGCCCTCTCGGTTACTGACTCTTGGTAACAGTTCACTCTCCGGTAGACTAGAAGTAGTGGGTAGAACACTCATCATCTATTATCACCAATCCGTTTAACTATCCCGTATCCATGCTCCCCTCTTTTTCGTACGAATATGCATAATTGAAATCATTCCGTCTGTACCCATCTTCACATACACACCAGAAAAGTTCTTCTGAACGAATTGATTTTGCATCCAGCCTATCCTCTTGTTGATTAATTAGTCAGTTTGTTTTAGTCTTCTAAACGTTCTACCTTATGGTGTGAACGGATGGGGACATAGTGCCAATCTTTTTCACTCCGGTTTGGGGTTGTGTTCGTCCACAGTTCGAAAGACTGAGCGATGCTTCTATTAGACCCCTCGATCGTTGACACTGCAATCGAATCGAATCCGCCGTTCTGGGACTGTTTTGTTTACGGAATAGAACAGGAGGAGGTGGAGACTATGGACGTCCGACTAACGAATGCCTTTCGTTTTTTTTTTAACTCACGCACGTGCGCTCTAAATCATTCGCTTTCGTCCTCTACCCAGGGCACCCCTGGTCGATCGATTTATCTCAATTTAGATAGTCGCCGTCTTCGTCGTATCTGTGTGTGTGCATGAATGTGCGAGCGCACACTTAAGCGACCATTTTGCGGGGGCTGGACGTCACCGAATTCGGGGTTTTTCGTTCGATTTGGCGCTTCAAGTGATCCCATTGCGTTCAAAACTCGGTCCAGTTCCTGTTCATTCGAATTCTTTTCTCTAGGGTTTATCGGACAACCTAATTCGATCGTCTTTCTTTTTTGCGCACGACAGGACGGTCCCATCATTGGTCAAACCCGACCGTTGAAATGCAATGTTTCCGATAGCGTATTACGTTATGTACTCCCTGATTGCTTTGGATCAATTTCGCTCGAGTTCCTCTGACTACCAATGTTTCATCTTCTTGACTGAAACTGGTGATCTCGACCTTTGGGTGCATGGATGAAATGTGTGATCTGCAGGGCTGTTTTTTTAATAGTAGCCCTCGTTGTCGAGTCGTGATGACTGGAACACAGATAGCTCATCCTGTATAAGTGCGACCGTTTGATGTTCAACCAATCTCACTCCTATGTAACCGTATACGGGTTTCTCATTCACAACCATTCTTGTTGACTATCAGTCGCTGTCATAATCAGACCATCTTGCCATTATCTGTGCTGTGGGATCTCTGACTGTTTCTCAGGTCACAAGAAATAATTATCAATACGGTCACGGGAACATGTTCAGCAACTTATTCAAAGGGAAATATCGACGAGTCACATCTCATTGAAAAATCCTCTAAGCCCTGCTTAGTTTCATTCTTGCTTGGGTGCATTCCCCTTAATCTTGTGATGGCTTCAAGTCTAACATGCATATCTGTGAGCCTGTTATAATCATGGGTCTGCCCGATCTCGCCCTAGTGGTTAGTTTACCGCTAACAGTAAGTAACTTGTTTCTTGTTTTAAGTTGTTCTCGATCACCGTGATTTCGAATGGAAAGTGATTTTATAAGGTTCAGTGAATACCCACTTGGATTGCGCATTATGTAATATTATTATTATTATTTCACACACTTGATCCGGATTGTACCAAACAAATCACGGTATAATAATCCAAGCTTGATTCTCCAAACAATACGAAAATCTTTATAACAAGAAAAAAGTTCTAGGGTTTGCAAATGATCCAAATACTTCCAGGTTTCCCAGGTCAAGGCAAGTAACTTTACTTGTGGAATTCACAATCGAAGCCTTCGGCTAGCCATAGCCTGTCCCGCAAGGTAGCGGGACGGTGTGTGAAAACCGTAATACATTCGGGTGCCCAGTTCATTGGATCATACTCCCTTTGTATGGGGTCATAAGCCCCAGGTGTCCAATACACCGATGCCCAATTGAGCCGGTGTCCACTCTCACAACCACGGTGTATGTGTGTTTGTATGGTTCGTACACCTCTTAATTTGGAATCACGGTTTTAGCCAGCTCCTCCAAGGTAAACTGTCGGTGGTTTACCGATCCGGTCATAGCCTCAGATGTTGAATTTTCATCCTCTCACTTTCGTGGGAAAACGCCCCCATCAGGAGAAGGCAGTGAGTAGGGTTTCCTCAGCAGTGGCAGTTTGAGACGCTTATGTTTATGGGAGAATTTCACGGTGCAATGGAATGATGACCAGCCACCACTCGAGAGACCCACCCCTAACCACACAAACTTTCGGAGGCTCATTGCAGTGCAATGATGCATGATAAACAGATATTGCATGGCAGTTGAATTTGCAGACAACCGATTCTGTACCACTATCGCTCGCTCCCTGTTTCCTCTAATTATGTTTTCTAATTGTCCTTTT